AATGCATTATATTGTGTACATAATATTTTTTGACAAACTGTTCTCCACCCCTCCCTGAGGTACATTGCTTGAGCTTTTGTGTTTAAATGAATTGAGTATTGTTTTTCACACCATTTATTCAAATTTCTTTTTGTCTAATTAGAAATCATCTCTACGAACAAGAACTTGAGAATATGTCATGGCGGATTGATTACTCGGATATTTCGTTTGAAGCCGAAGATGAACTAACTACTATTTTTGGAACGAACTCGTTCCCTAGAAGTCACGCAAGCATCGCCAAAGTAACGGGAATTAGTTAGATTAATTGTTACATAATCAATCTACCATATAATAATTATTACTATTATTCGATACTGCAGCTGGAGATCAGGGCCATACGGTTGTCATCTGTCTCAGTCATCGCTGTCTTTTACCAACAAGATGTAGATGAACGTGGCTTCTTAAATAGTTGTAACTCCTTAAACCAATATATAATACTAACGGGGCTTATACACTACCGTACGTTTATCCATAACATTACTACAGAATATAGGGCTTAACTTTAACATGATAATTAAAGGCTTAAAACAATGGTTAACTCTAATTAGGTCGTTGCAAAATATAAAGCATGTAACATTGAATCAAAGAATCATAATATAACAATTAAATTTTCCCGAAATATCACATTATATAATTAACTTACTTCAATTTACGCATCGTGATCTGGTTTAGGGTGATCAACTACTTGAAGTTTTCCGAAACAAACTTGAGGGTGGTACACAAGCTACTCAATTTACAATAAACCTTATATACAGGAGCATCTGCGTCTGACATTATGTACCTAAAGATCGCTTGAACTTTATGTAGTACAGTAAATTATGAAGTAACCGAAGTTTTACTCCTGTACTTACTTTTATAATACCCAGCACTATTTTAGCCTACTTGGTTCTACTCATATAGACCTGTCTCTTATACACATCTAGATGTGTATAAGAGACAGATATATATATATCATAATATTATGTTAAAACATGCTTAATGTACTTTTTAATATCAAGGTGTATTATCATATCTTCCAAAGGTTATTTCCATAAAGTTATTCACAGTGTATATTAAAATGTACAGAATAGGGCCTATCTCTACTGTTGAAGTAACTTCTTAAAATTTACAACACTTTTCATTTCAGCTAAGCGATCGTGTCGGAACTTTAAATAGCAGCACACTATCCTTGGTCGGTGATTTAAGATATACAAAGGTTGGCTGTTACATTGGGACGCGTGTCGCAATTAAGCAAATCCGCAGAAGTTCCTCAATTCAACTCAATAGACAGATTCTCAAAGAATTTAAAGATGTGGGTACACTTTAAATACATTTAAACGTAACTCGCTTTAATATTAAAGCGAGTTACGTTTAAATGTATTTAAACGTAACTCGCTTTAATATTAAGCTAAATGAGGCATGCATCATCACATTCTAAAAATAATTCTGTTCAGTAGTAGCTCCAGAAATTGCTGAGAGGGAATCTAACAATTCCAACAATTCATTTCAATTCAATTCAATTTTTATTGCTTCATCAGCCATCAAGAGATATTTTCCGCCAAACATTAAAAACAGGGAGTCCGAACAAAGGGGCCACCAGAGTCTTGGTCAGTGTCCCGAAATAAATCTCTGATGGGGTTCATATGGATTTAGGATGAACGAAATGTACTTTTAATAGGTCTAATATTAGGGATTGGCATTTAAAATAACTTTGTTTGGATCGGTAAATAAATATTTTTAGTCTGACGACCTCCTCGTGGCGTCAGCAGACGACTGTGTCCAAGCTTGCTCAATGGTATCCCGATACCCCCACGCTGGTACGTACCGCCGCTGGTTTATTAGGATAACATTTAGTGGAATTCAGTAAAGAATGAGGTTTTTTTTTCTTACAGGTCCGAGAGTTAAACCATTTGAATGTAAACCAGATCGTAGGAGCGTGCATCGAGGCACCAAATATCTGTATTTTGACAAACTACTGTAGCCGAGGCAGCTTACAGGTAGCATATTATTTCCTTGTCATCCAGCCTTGTAACATTATTAGATGTTATACCTCATTATCCTTCTCTAATTGTGCATCCTTCCCCTCCTTTCATCATATAACCAACACCACCACCACCATCATCATCATCTTACCCAGAGTGGAGTATAGCTTAATTGTTACTTAAGATGCCCTGTTTTTAATCACTACTCATGGGATCAATTTCTGCAAACACCAGATTTTTTTCCTTACGTCTAAAAGTCGCTTTTGAATCACGATCAAACGTTGATGGCGCTATTGTATACCTTACTTTCATAAAATGATAAGGTAAACTTTAAGTTTACCTTAATGTAATGTGTAATACACATTACTTTATTTTTTAAACCAATGTCCTTTTCGTTCATAATATTCACCAAACTGATCTGATCTTTTAACTTTTAAAAATAAATAATAATGAGATATAAATTGTTTGTAGGATGTTTTAATGAACGACCACATCAAACTGGACTATCTCTTCAAATGGTCTTTTGCGTCGGATATTGCTAAAGTAAGTTATTTTGAATTACGGTTTCATTGATACCTCTATAAATTTTAAAATAGTGTAACAATAAAAAGGAATCCTAAATATAAACAAATATTAAAGAAAATAAATCAAATGGTCTCTAATTGTAGGGTATGGCATATTTACACGGCACGCCTATCGAGGCACACGGGCGTTTGAATTCCTCCAAGTGTTTGGTGGATAGTCGTTGGGTTTGTAAAATCTCCGATTTCGGACTAAATAGCCTGCGATGTGACCAGGAGTTAAATCAAGGAACACGCGAAAGATATTATTCAAGTAAGAAAACATGGCGTAATGTGTTTATAATGATATTCTTAAGTTGGTACTAGGTAGTAGCATTTTAAACTTGCCGTATTGAAGAAGTGATTGCAACTTATCTTTTGATGTAATTATTACAATAAATGTTGAAGATGATCATAACAAAGACAACGTTGATGGTGCCTAAATATGAAGATGATGGTCATAAGGAAAGTAATTAATTGATTATCGTGATGATGATTATGACTATCAGAAATAATATCAGTTTGCCAACAAACAATCAGTAAATCAAAAGTGAGATCATTAATGTGTCAAAATACACAGCAGGCTATGAGGTTCAGTGGCGCTATGACGTTTGCATTTCTTTAAGCTGGCATGTGAAAAAAAATTGATAATTTAATAAATTATTTTTTTTTTAAGAGCAACTGTGGACAGCTCCAGAACTTCTTCGTCAAAACTACCCACGATGCCGCAGTACAAAACAGGGGGATACTTATTCATATGGCATCATTCTTCAGGAAATAATTTTGAGGGACGCCCCCTATTGTATGATAGAAATGGAAGCAGAAGGTAGGTCTTCTTAGTAACCATTATTACTCTCTTTGTAATTAAAGCATTCTTTTTGGTTTTTTTCCTATGAAATAATAGGTGTTCATTAGTTATTTTAAAGGAAACTGCAAATGAACACCTTTTCGACTTGGTTAATTTCTAGTTTTATATTTTTAACCTCTTAATTGGGGCCAACTTTTTAATTGAATTTGCATTTAGCGTTATCTTCATTATCATAATTGTTATCGCTATCATTACTGTTACCATTAACATTATCGTCATCAAATCATCACTATTATAATTAAATATATTATCAAACCTACTAATATTCATTGTATATACCTCTTATTGATAAATTAGAAATAATCTGTAAGATTAGAACCATTAGTAATCCTCCATTTCGGCCAGAAGTCGACGACAAAGACACCAACTACAGTAAGGTTGTCCGTTTGATGAAAACTTGCTGGGATGAAGACCCAAGCTGCAGACCTCCGTTTAGTTATATCATTAACTATCTAAAGAGGGTGTCAGGTGGAAAGTAAGTTAGATTTTCGTTTAAACACTCTTCTTTCTATCGATTTGCTGGTGGAACATTCGAAAACATAATAAAATGATAATGAGTCAACTGGTACAGAACTTTCCTAACATACTGAGATACTGGGTCGAAGACTTCAAATATGAAGAAGCTATAGAAGAAGTCGTTAGACAATTTTTAAGCATCATTGATAAATAATTGGTACACAATTTCTAATATTAGTTGAGTTTTACATGGCAGTTTGAAGTACACGCAAGAACGAAAGAATCAGAAAAATATATTATTGCTACCAAATATCCAACATTAATGTTCATATATCTTGATTGAACATGATCTGTCAACAATTATATACGTTCGTTCAAATTTAAAGAAAATTTGTTTAAAGCTTTAGTATCGTTGACCTATTACATGGTCCTCGATTGAGAACAAGTTGTCGTTTTCAGAAGTGGGAATCTTATAGACAACATGGTTGCAATGCTGGAGAAGCATGCCGTACACTTAGAGGAACTTGTGACTGAAAGGACAAAACAACTGGCAGATGAGAAATTGAAGACTGACGCTTTACTCTACCAAATGCTACCAAAGTAAATAGTTTTGCATATTCTTTACTGTCCGAATTTTTCTATATATTTTAACATGTTCCTGATGGTATAAAGAACATTAAGTAATTGTATATTTAGTTTTCTATTAAACCCAGTATACAAAATGAAAAGTTTAGTGGAATACCCAGTTTGCAGAAATATTAAGCTATTGTTATTCTTCTACCAAACACATGAAGTGAAATTAAAACGTCCGAGGGGATCGAATCTTTAAAGAAATATTCTGAAAGTACTAGGTTTTAGTACTATTCATGTTGTTCCATCTTCAGTTGCTTCTGCTCTTCAGACCAGCATCTCCTTCAAAAGACAATACTTTTTCTATCGTCTATTTGATAGAATTCAAAAATCTATTATTTACCAGTGAAATAAAATTGCTAATTACAAGTTCAATTGTGCACTTGGTCTTTACATCGAATGGTGTTTCTAGTGTATAAGCTCGGATTTGTAGAAACGGTTGGCGCGTCGGTTGTGGCCGGCTTGGACTCCCAACCTCGAGATCGGGGGCTCGTAACTCTCGCTGTGCAAATCGCTTGTGTCCTTCGGCAAGGCACTTTATCTACGGTTGCCTCTCTCCACCCAGGAGTACAAGTGGGTACCTGATAGGTTCCAACACAACTGCGCTGATTACTAGCTGCAATATTATGGAATAATAATATAATTTAATTTAATAATTTAATTCGGTAAATATGTGTGTGATCCAATGACCAGGGTAGTAATGTGGAGGCTTTGTGCATGAAGCGGTTATTATTATTATTATTATTATTCAGCGGGGAGCCAGGGGGAGACAAAGGCCCCCCCCCCTGTCGGGGAGAACTACGCTGCCCCCTCCCCGTCGGGGAGAAAAATCACAATTCGTCGGGGAGAGAAACAATTATATGTATTTTCTACATATTAGCAGACTCTAAAATCGATTAAATAAGCCTTTGAAACCCCTAAATTGTTAAAACTTTCGGGGGCTCCGCCCCCTGGACCACTTTCAAAACATTTTGATCGAAGCTCGACCACGCCCACATTGCTTTGTCGGGGAAATCTGACCCCTCGTCGCCCCCCACCCCCGTCGGGCAAATCCTGGCGCCACCCCTGCAATGATAGTAAAAGTATTATTGTATATATGAAATTAAGGCAAAAAGAAATATGATAATGATACATGAAAGCCTAAAATTATGTTCAGCTGGAGGTTAAATATAAGTGCTTAAAGTAAAATCGCTCGTAATTTGTTAAGACCTACTTTACAAAACAACAATAATCAAACAAAATAGTATAGGCATAGTTTAACTTAAATAGTGACTAAACACAATTACAATAGACAAAACAAAGGTGGTATTCAATTCAGATTATCAGCCAAATCCGACTTGCTAGTGTCTTTAAGAAGTAAGGACAATTATTGCTCTAATACCTCATTCTTAGGATGGAGCGTTTAGCCGTTGGTCCTCTGTGTATAATAACACAAAAATCTAGTTATTTAAAATGGTTAGAGGATTGTATTCCGTTGTACTGACCGTGGTACTGCCAGTGGCGTCGAGAGCCAGTAAGGGCCCCGGGGCAACGCCTCACATGTCTCCCCCCCCTTCACTTGGGTCCCCCACTCGGCCGCTCCCCAAATTAAGTCTCCTCCTAAGACCCTATTTTTCCAAACCCACATACATGGATATGATTCCATGTGATTATTTTTTTGCAATGTAGATGTATCAGAATAATCTGATGAATAAACGATAATAATTAATATATAAAAATAACGTATATACATACAACTTTACATGCAGTGAAAGGTACATATAAAATCAATCATAAAGATTAAGATCAGTATCATATTTTTCATCTTGGTCCGGGCCCCCCAGTAGATCCGGGCCCCGGGGCAGCGACCCCCTGACCCCCCCCCCCTTCTCGACGCCACTGGGTACTGCACTGTTGCTTCTGCGGGTCAGGGGGAGCGCAATCCGAATTCCCACGTTTTCAAAATGGGCTCTTAACTGTATATAGGCCTACTGTTCATTGACCTTTTTTTGCACACTTTAGCACGTATTACACTGATCCAGCCTCTAGTCGTCTAGATTCAGATTGAAATAATAATTATAATCTTACTCATTACAATGCATAGTATTTGTTTTTAAAGGAATACATACCACATTTTTTTACTAATATCTACAACCAGTCAATATTAAGTACCTCTGTTCATGCGTCCCCCTCCCCATCATTTAATTTATGTAAGAGTGGATTCAGAATCACTTTCTTGAAATTTTTCTGCTAACTGATTCTTATTTGATTCTTAATATATGCTAAATTCTTGAATTCTACTCTAATTCTAATTAGCTCGGTTCGAAATCACTAATAAGCAATGTTGGCTGCTTAAACGTGTTTAAAATTATTAATAATGTTTAGAAACTGCTCGGGTTTCCCATGTTAATATGCTATGAAAAGTACTTTAGTGTTTTATAATTCGTATCCGTATAACAATGTTTACATTTTTAGTGTGTTATAAAGCACCTAAGTTTAAAGTAAATTTATTGAATTAAAATTGTGTTACAGATCGGTGGCTGACAGTCTAAAACGTGGCAAAGTTGTTCAGCCAGAGAGTTTTGAAGAGGTGACGATATTTTTCAGCGACATTGTAGAATTCACCAAGTTAGCAGCCGAGAGCAGTCCTTTGCAGGTAATTTGTAAATTCAAACATTTTTTTAAAATATTTATGTATAAACATATTTAGCAACAGATATTATTTGAACTTTTAACCTATAAAATAGTAATTTATAATGCGGTTATGATGCTTCTGTACTACTTTGCGTTATAAATGCATACCATGCCAGTATCGTTTCCCCGGGGATATTATTTAAAATTAATTATTGTGATGATGGAAAACTTTGTATTTTCTATGGAATCGGCTTCTTTCTTGATAACTGTTTTGGTTCCATTTCTATTACGTAAGCTACCTAGGCCTAATTAATAACAAAACTCGATTTCAAACCGAACTAGTTCTGTATTGCAAAGACTGTAAATTGGCTTGTAATCAATTCACAGCTTTAGTAATAACATATCTGTAATTTTTTTTAAACTTAATTTTATTTGTCTGTTTCTAGTTATTTAGAATGATGTCAAATTTTTAGACTATTGACAAAATAATATCGGAGAAATATTTATTTTCACTTTTGAAAAAGGTTTATCAAAGAGGTTTTATTTATCAATTCCAGTGGTATCGAGTTCGAAGTCGACTCTCTGGTTTTTGTTGAAGATGCTCGGCGATTTTGTTTTAAATAATGAATTTATTAATATGTGGTTAGGCAGGGATAACAGTGGTCCTGGTAATATTATAAACATAAAACTGTTTCTAGATTGCTTCTATCTATTTAGAGGAATCAGGGGCGATCTACAGAAAATTGGAAGGCAAAGCGACGAGCTGCAGAGAGGTGGATAGGGTGGTGTTTTTTTGGGTGGGGTATCGGGTTTTGTTTGTTTTTGGTTACATTTATATTTTTTGTTCACAATTGTTTGACTACAGTAAACTGGTACATGGAATTTGAATCGAAAATTAGCTTTGAAGTACCGCACTCCCTTCTGTCTTTTTTCTTTTCAATTTTTCTCTATCTCTTTTTTTTTAATGGGGGAAGGCTTATACCCCGTTTCCTCATTTTTATCCGCCCCTGAGGTTTACGGTATACCTATTAATGGGGTGAGGAGTCGACGCAATCTATTGCAATTGCGATGGTTGTACTGCTTTCTCAATATATATATGAGATACAATAGGAGAAATTAGTAAAATACGCGTATTGGCTATGTATAAATACTTAATATTCTACTTTGGATTTATTTTGTTAGGTTGTTGATCTTTTAAACGACCTCTACACATGCTTTGATACAATAATAGAAAATTACCAAGTCTACAAGGTAAGCAAGAGTACTTAATTCTCATTATCATCATTATCATTATAATCACAAACATTGTCATAAATGTTCGTTATCACTATTATTATTATTACATAGATTTAGATTTAGATTATTTGAACGTCAATGTTGTTATTACTATAACTATTCCTGTTTAGAGATACGATAATTTATTTGAAATACGGCGAGTCGCTTGGCCGAGCGGTTAAGACAGGGGAACAGTGATATACAGCCATAATATCGGCGTTGGTTCAAACGGCACGCTCGCCTATGGTTCAGGTGGTGGGACAAGTCTTCTCGGATAAGGACTGTAAACCGTAGGTCCATACACAGTTGGCTCGTGTGCACTTTAAAGAACCCAGTACACCATTCGAGAAAAGTAGGGGGCTACCCCGGTGTACTGGTCCATTTCCAATCCCCGTCCGGTCACAGAAGGAGCGCTTACGCCGCGGCCCATGTCAGGTATCCATCCTACCTGCGAATCCTTCTACCACACTACGTAAGCAAGGTCATACACACTAGCTACGTAGTGATAAGAAGAAAATTTGAAATACACCTACTTAAATTGCAGTTACAAAAGAATTTATCGCTTGAAATATACAGAAATTTTCGACATGAGTACCGCGTTAGGAAAATTGTACAGAAAATGTTAGGCTAGAAATTCATTACATCATCGTGTTTAGAGATGTGTAACGTACATTAATTTCTTGATACTTTTTTAAGGTAGAGACAATTGGTGATGCGTATATGGTGGTCAGTGGGTTGCCCGTGCGCAATGGACATTGCCACGCCACGCATGTTTGCATGATGGCGTTGAATTTACTCAGCGTGATGTCCAGTTTCGAAATACGCCACCGTCCCGGGAAATGTCTTCAGCTGCGTATAGGCATTCACAGTGGTAAGTCTAGAGCTAAGACAAAGACGCAGTAGGTCTTGTATATTCACATTATAAATACAGGTCTCCATCCAATTAAAGACCTCCTCCAAATAACGACCACTTTTCTGTGGTCCCAAATTTTTTCTATATTATTCTGTGCTGCTAAAGCCCAATGCTGCTAAAGCCCATGGAAACCCAGGTCCCAGAAGTGGTCCCTAATTGGAGGGGAGACCTGTAATTGTGATTCAGTATTTTATGTTAGAGCAAGCAACTCAATCGAAACGTCGAGACTTCCTCAACTACAACAGTTCTTTTCAGAACTACTGACGTGGTGTACTGCAAGTTTCAACATATATTTTATTACTTCGCCATGCAAACCTTTAAACAATACCTAGAGCAAGCTGTTGGTTAACATCCCCATCTACCTTAATGTAATCTATTGAATTTTCCAAGCAGAGACCATACTTTAAAATGTTGTTTTCAATGTTAGAGCAAGCAACTCAATCGAAACGTCGAGACTTCCTCAACTACAACAGTTCTTTTCAGAACTACTTACGTGGTGTACTGCAAGTTTCAACGTATATGTTATTACTTCGCCATGCAAACCTTTAAACAATACTTAGAGCAAGCTGTTTGTTGACATCCCCATCTACCTTAATGTAATCTATTGAATTTTCCAAGCAGAGACCATACTTTAAAATGTTGTTTTCAATGCCGTAGCCAGGATTTTTAAACAGTGCGGTACAATATCAGGTTGGACCCACTTTACGCATAAATCCAAATGATGTGGTCCCAATGTTCACATTATTAGGATTTTATGTGACAATTACCTGTGATTTGCCTGAGCTGAGTAGTTGGCTGAGAGGTAGGCCTATTTTTCCTGTGCTTGTGCTGAAGATCCCAGTTCAAACCCGGCCAGAGTCAGGTTTTAATTGGAGTCTGATCGATTGGCTCCCCGAATAACAATCATATTAAGAGTTAGGCGGGTTAGGGACAATGTTTGTATCCGTTTGTGTCCTAGGGGCCCAGTCCAAATATCCGATTTCAATTTAGAATGAAAAAAATTAAAGAATTATTATTATTACTATATGGGTGAAATAAATCATGACTATGATAATCAAACTTTAGACCATCGATTGATTAGTTGTAACACCATAGATATACCGTAGTGAACGAGTGCCTTGATCTTAGATTTACTACCGTAATGTATGGTATCGTAGTGTATTTTGATATAGTTCGTTCCCTTTTGTATGACATAGGACCAGTTGTTGCTGGAGTTGTTGGGGTTAAAATGCCAAGGTATTGTTTATTCGGGGACACGGTTAACTACGCTTCTAGGATGGAATCCACTGGTGAAGGTATGAATATTGCCAGCAATTTTACATTATACTTTCCGTATTTAGAAATCCTTCATGAAAACTGATCCTAATCAAGACGTTCAGGCTACGCTATAATCAATAAATAAAGCGTCTCTATGCTTTAGGGCTGTTATTGTAGGCAAATGCAAGTGTTATAAGGTAGTCTTGAAGATAATGGTTAGATGTAATTTATCATCTCAGCTTACATCAAGACGGTACAGATTTAGTCACATCAATTGAAACATCGCATAATCAAAACTAATAAACATTATTTGAATTTCCTTTTATATAAAAGCAAGGTTGCCTTCCTTTTTAAATGTAGGCCTAATAAAAAAAAAAAAAATTTAATTTGTCTTTAGGGGTGGTGCCAGGATTTGTCTGGCAAATCCTAACACCAATACTGGCAGTTAAGTGCTCTTTCATGATTTCTCACACAGCACTCAAGATCCATGTTAGTTCAGAATGCCATCGAATTATTTCAAAATCTGATGTATTCCAGTTTCAGAAACGGGGCAATGTTAATCTCAAGGTAGGTCACTTAAATCAGAATGCTATGCTATTGGTGTTAAGTGTACAGGTTGGACCAGGGCCTAGCATACCATGCAACGGGTCAGGCAGGTACGCAACAGGAGCCGGTGTTATAAGGATTTCGACCCTCTACAGTATGTACAGTAAACTTTATGTTGGTTCGGCGCTCTCAGACATTTTTTAAAAATTGAGAGTCGATTTTCCTGCCCGGGAGCGGAAAGTACTATGGATTTTAGCTCAGGTAAGGTGGGTCGTGGGTGGAATGGAAAGGTCAATGACTGAATCATCTGTCACCAGACAATCCCCGCATACTTTTATTTTATTTGTTAAACTTTGTTTAATAAGGTCGGGATCGAAAAAAAACACCTCGAAAAACAATAGTGTAGTCGCTGTTTTGGTATCTATCTATGTTTTAACGAGGGTGAATATAATGAACAGGGGACTAAGTTCCCTTTGCTCCCCCTGGGTCGCTGATACTAACAATGACAGAGGGGAGTGAGGCATTAGGTACATGAGATGCGTCTGGTAGTGTTCTCCTACTGTAAATGATGATAAACTAAAAAAAACAAAAAAAAAACATTAATATTCACGTTATTATCTAAATCTAAATCTATGTAGATACTCATAAACGCCTGTTTAGCATCAAATTGAAATACGCAACTGTTTACGATATAGCTGTTGAACTTTATATCACCTTCACGAGACCTATATTGTCCATGTGATTCATTGTCAAAGGCTATTGTTATCGAATTGATATATGAAACTAATTACTACTGCAAACGTTATATATCGATGATGTCCGTCCAATTTCTACTAATAATATAGGTCAAATGAACAGTGACATCACAAACTATGTCGATCATGATGCCATCTACGGCTATGATGAAAGTCGTAAACTTCCAATCAACACCTCTGCGTAGCTTTAGTTTTCAAGTGAAAAGCAAGCATGACGTTTATTCCCTACATAGTTAAACAAAAATGAACACCGCATTTTTGCTGGACTGTGTATGGAATAATATTTAAAAGGGCTTGGAAATTAAGATCAAACTTTAAATCAATATTTTAATTATGCGAATTCACACCTTACTCAATGGTTTAACAGTCCGGTATATTTCAGTCTCTTTTTCGCTTTCATTTTATTAAAATTTCATGTACGTACATCAGTTTTATTTTGTGAGACAATAATTGTCTTGTGCTATACTTTTGGCCTTTATTTTGTTTTAGGTATATGATGTTACTGTAGTTTAGTTAATTGATAGTTTGTTTTGTATAAGGATGCATTATAAATGCATGTGAGTCGCTATTTCAAAAGCGTTTTCCAATAAATAAATTGATTGATTGATTGATTGATTGATTGATTGATTGATTGATTGATTGATTGATTGATTGCTAGCGTAACGATAATCATAGAAAATGGATTTGATAAATGAGATGCTATTAGGAGGACGTTTGCCTATCTTTTGTTTTGACCGTCGAAGATTGTTGGAGATGGGTTGAGGGGTGGGGGACTAGTTGTAAAAGTACGTCATCTAGACTACAGAATTATAATAAGATATTCCTTCGTTACGTGGCTTCAGACACTAATATTCGTCAGTGTCAAACTCAGCTTTTAAGGTCAATAAAATAAATTACATTATAATTTTTACGATTCGCATATAGACCTAAAGTATATGGCATGATTTAATGTTTTCTTTCTGTATTAAATTTGTTTTTGGTTATTTGTTTTCTGTTTTCTTTTCCTCTGCGTGTACTTTTTCACATTTTGCTTCTTTTCGGAGCACTTCCTCATTATTTGGCGCGTAGATACATAGGCCTACTACAATGCGCCTAGTACCGATCGCGGGTAGTGCACTTGTCCGCGGACATCGGGTCCCACATCCATCAACTGCTGTAGACTGCCCGCAACCGGTACTGTACGTCTAAAATTTATATTAAGATTGGACTGGATGCAATGTCTGTTAATTTTGTCTTTTCAGGGAATCGGGTCAGTTACAACTTATTTTCTCACTGGATTGTCATGAAGCCCTGACACTACATTGATATTCGCTATTAAACCATTGTACATAAACTACTCAGAGTAGGAAGCTAAAGCATTCTTAGTGGCGGACATGTACAGTACTTATATTATGACCTGGTTTGCTATGTTCATAATATGTTTTTACTCTCTATGTTAATTAATAAGAGCTCCATCGTTTTTACAATACAGTAGTTACATATTATCTCATAATCATATGAATATTTATTTAATTTCAACATATACAATAAATACAATAATAGATTTTTATAAAACTATTACTATACAATGAAATTGGGGCGGTCGTCATATATATATATGCCTATATATATAGGCCTATATATAATAATATATATATTTATATAATTGTAAATCATGAAATGATCTAAATGAATGATATTTGTTAGTAAACAATGCGACGAAATGTGACGACTATGAACCTTTTTAAGAAAAGAAAGGAAAACGAATGTAGAGAAGAAAAACAACAGCACACTATCCAGATGTTAGAACTAGTTTCTATGTTATGTTATGAATTTTGAAGTCTGCAATTATAGGAGACATTTCTTAAGTATTAAGCTGATATCATCACGTGTGTAAGTGATAACTTCGTAATTATAAATTATGACAAATGTTATGCCGCAACAAGTTAATAAATGAATAATTGATCTGTATTTATTATAGTAATTTTTAAAAATGGTTAGATTATATATATTCAATGTAGCTTTTTACCTAATATAATAAAACAAACAAAAGATTACTTTAGTCTTTGTATAATCTTCCGTGTCTTAATAATGGAAACACATAACATGACGTAAGTGGTGATGATAATAATGATGATGATATTAAAGAAGATGATGATGATGATGATGATGAATAGGGATAAGGAACATAACCATTTCAATACCGTACATAATGGCCTTGTAGTGGATGGACTTTAACATGGCCTTATTCATGATGAAATCGAACAACATATTAAATAGGGGAAACAAAACTACAGTCAATATCATTATCTGACCACTTTCATTTTTTTTCTTTTACCTTTTGTGCTATTGTTGTATTGTTTTAATTTTATTCCTTATTATTATTATTATTATTATTATTATTATTATTATTATTATTATTAATAATAATAATATTAATATAATAATATTAATATTAATATTAATATTTTTATTAGGCCTATTATTATTATTATTATTATGTTTGTTATCGCACATTGGATCATTTTCCAATGAATATGCATTATTCGGGAGGCTTCTAGGGCCTTCCTGTATTATTATAATTATTATTTTCTATATTATTTATTATTATTGTAAATTTTATTGCTATTGCAAATCGACCTATTAATATTTCATGCGTAACACATAAAACACGTATCTGTATGACTTGGTATTATTACCAATGTAAGTGTAATTTGCATAAGTAATTCAAACGTACAGCACAAACGTAACACTTAGGTGATTTGCATGATTTGACCTTTCGTGTTTGAACCTTATTTTTTCCTGTCAATTCTAGAACATATTGGCTTGTGTCAAATTCGCCCTTCAGTGCTGCACTCAAGCTAATTTGCTATTATTTGTCCTACTCAATATGTATGTATATCATTTGCATAAATGCATATGCGTGCGTGTACGAGCCAAAATCAAACGATAACGTTTTACAGACGGAAGCCTTATGGGACCTAAATATCGATTGTAATACTCGTTTTACAATGTGTGGCAAAGTTTGTTTCTTTCTATGTAAATCGATATTCATCTATATTTGATTTAGTTTACGCTTTCACAAATAACAATTGTTAAAGTATACGTACATCATTAATGTTCTATAGTGCTCGAGCTTGTAACATATGTCTTCCTGACCAACAAACGAGTGTTTACCGTTGAATAATTTGTTACTCATAATGGAGCGGTATCTGTGCATATCTTGCAGTTAGTCTAAGATGACGGGAGTTGTTGGATGCTCTGAATCAGATGTCTACGATCAGTACATTACAATCGGTATGCTTCGCAAACTCTTAAAAACGATAACGGACACGGTTACGTCATAATTGTTTTGAATTTCAACCAATCTCCGTTGAAACAGTTTGAAATGTAGCAGTACTTACCAGAATCATCAATCATTATTCGTTTGAATATGGTATGGCATATTTACACCCAATACTTGAAAATGGCCCCGAAACATTCATTGGCTGCGTCACATCAACCCCATATATTGGTTTGTAGACACTTCTTTGAAACCATCCCTCTTTGGAGCACCTTACCACACCTGCATCCGCCCATGATTTATCAACTTCAAATTTGACAGAGTAAATATTATAACAATGATAGTTTAAAGATGTATTGTCCCTTACAAATGACGAAAAAAAAAATCATAAACAATAACTTTTGAATTAACTTCTCATTTTGCAGTAAAATACAAATTATTAAATTGAGCATGGAAATTATCGAATTTAAAAAATGTGTACCCTGATTCTTAAACTGGATAATTATAATAAAAACAATTAAACACTTAACCAGTGACTGGAAGTGTTGATATCATTATCGCTGAAAAATTATGGGAAAGCATTTTTTAAATACACTAATTTCTACTGATAATTAATGTTCATGTTACTTCAAAACAGGCAAGTTAATTAATTAAAAAATGATTTTTTTTTCTGAGGTGGGGGGGGGGGATTTTGGTATTTGGAATTTAACAATACATCTTTTTGGTATTTGGGATTTAACAATACATCTTTAACATTGATTCATATCATTTACGATTTATTAAATTCGACGTAAAGAAAGACCAAACGTCTTGTGTCTTGACAAACACTCAGTGAAAAACCTAAGCAGGACCGTCTACAGCGTTCGAAGCATAATTTCTGTCTGCCGTAGGCACGAAAAATAAAAGAAAATGTGATGTATATATTTGTATACTGTACTGTTGTTTGCTAGGGTTCCGAAATGACAACCTTACGTGTACTGATACGCACCTACATTAAGTTTGTCGACCTCTATCTGTATAGGGATGGATTTGTGTGGGCACGGACCATGCTCAAGAAAGAAAAAACACAATTAGGAATATGAAGGAATAATAAGAGTTTAGTGGAAGAAGAAAGAAACAAAAGACATTAATGGAATTTAGTATAAAGAATTATTTTACTTCAGTGAAACACTGTGTTACACAAAGCGTCACCCGTGTTATTTTGGTATACCCTAGTATTTGTGCTAATACAACCAGCCTAATTTAGGTGTCAACAACACAATAATTTAAAAAATTACATACTCATCAGAAACTCACTTGAAACCTGGTGTCCGGGGAAATCATGCACATTTTTACGAGTCAATTGTTTATGAATTTTTATAGTAAAATGAATATTTAATTTATCATAATATAAAAACACCCATAATTCATTTCACACCATTGACGTATGGACAATAAATAATTAAAAGATAAAAAATATATTTTATTGATGATAAGTATTATTTCTTAATGTCCAAGTATGCAATCTCGTATGTTATTAGACAATGCGCTCCAAGCATTTAACAACCTTCCTGGGACTTATTGCACAAATATCATCAATAATGCTATTCGTCTTCCGACACCTCGCGTTTAACCATAATTATTTTCCATCCGATGGGGTCCTCCGCGTACAAGGATAGACTTATCATGGAAAAAAAAGCTTACTTTATGAATTAGGTACTTTGTACCGGTACAGTATTAGCTACAAAATAGATATTACTTGGCAATAACCAGGCACAAGACATGTTTACCTCCACCCAAGAAGTCGTTGCGTTTTTCTGTCTGTTTGCAGGGTTATATGTAGTGGGTGTTACATATTATAAGAAAGAGGTGACTAAATTTGTGGGAAAAAATGTCAATCAGTCAAAGAATGAGGTCAGGGTTACATTATAATTATATTATAAGATTATACAAACACTAACGATTGGATCATCATTTTAACTTAGTGAAGGGGTACATTGAATGGTTTAAAGATGCGGTGATTAAAGTTGGGGGTGAAAAGGTCCAAGTTAATTTTTTCAGCGTTTATTATTTTGTATCCTTTTTCGTATTTCTGGTACAGTATCTGATACATGTTTCTGGTACAGTATCTGATACATGTTTGTAGTAAAACCTTTATTATATAGACATATATATATATATATATTATATATATATATTATATATATATATATATGTATATACTCACTCGCAGATTGCTTTCCTTTCAAAATGTATACCGTATATAATTAGTTTATCTCTATCATATCATGACTTATATATTAATTTATATACAATAAGGACGATTATACAGAAAGGTATACGTTGATATTTTAAACTTAAAAAAATATTAATTCGAATTTAGTCA